TTTAAGTGAGTAGTTTAGGTGATTTTAGAGTCAAATTAATTTTTTCAAAATGGAAATATATATCTTTTTTTTTTTTTGGTATTGTAAAATAAAGAAAAGAAATTTGATCTCTGTTCATAACATGCATCTTAACTAACCAGCAATTTAGGCGTACTTTAGCTTCTAGGAATTCTTTAGGAATTTTACAACAATAAGTGATTTTATGTGACAAGTTGTTGAATTTTTCGTAAGAAATATTATTGTATTATTAAAAAATATGTAGTTTGATTTAAAGAGAGGAATATGATTTTGATATTTTAATTATCATTTAATTTCCAGAAAAAATAATTTCCACCAGATAACGTTTTTTTACATACCAAACGACTTATATAAAAACATCTTTCTGATAGGTTTAATTTCTCACAAGATATTTTTTAAGATACTTCAATATTACGAATTAAAGAATCACCTTATACATAACCTATGACATTTTTACCATAACTTTTTACATTTGACCTCTAATGTATATTTAGTAATTTGGAGATATCATTCATACTATTTTAACCCCTTTTGATAGAATGAAATTTTTTTTTAAATAAAAATAATTATAATTTCATCATTAATCAGTTTTCTTTGCATTAGTAGTAATCACCAAGTGTCGAATACCCGATGATGCGTACTAATATTTGAGCTCAGCTTCTATAGAGTGCCCTATCTCAAATCTACTAGTCTTCTTTTCCAAGCTGCATTAGGTAATTTTAAATAATAGGTTTGGCTTAAGTTTGGTTATTTTTTTCGGTAACTGACTATATAAAAACTAATATTTTTTGTTTAGTATCTATTCATCCCTTATCAACTCCCTTCAAAATTCGGTGCCGATCGGAGATATGTACTCTTTAAGAGAACGTTCATAATATTATATGGAATTAGATTAATACTATATTGATTGGAATAGGCAAATATTTTTTCAATTGTTACAGGTAAATGCCAGTGCCTTGTGCAGCTGTCTACCTTGCCAGTGGCAGTTTGCTATGGTTGTGGTGTTACTAGTAAAGATGCTCAAGCTAGTGCTGCTCAAAACGCTTTGGAATATCTCAAAATCATGACCAAAAAGTGAGCCAGCGCTTTGCTCCTGCCAGCTGTCACTATCAATTGTAAATCTCATAATATTTTGCTGTCCAAAAATCAGAATAATAGTACAGATTCCAAAATTTTACCAAATAATCAAGTATCAGACAAGGGTAAAAGCAGTCAAAAACTTGATCACGTGGGGAACAAAAGTAGATTATCAAAGTTATCTGTTAGAGCAGTAAATACTGCAATGGGCAGTAAAGACACTACATTAAGTACAGTTACTACAACATCAACTGTTACAGTTTCTGCAAATAGAATGAATTCATCCATCAAAAAGAATAGTGGAAATAATGAGAATTTAAAATCTAACGAACAATTAACAAAGAATACATCAATTGTAACTACAAATCAATCTAGTTCTACTTTCAGTAGTGTACGAGGAGTTACTGCAGCTTGTGTTAGTGGTAATGTTCCTCACGAGAGTACCTCTAAGCCCAAAGATTATTCTACTAAAAAGTTTTCTAGTGAAATCGATTCGAAAGTGAAGAACTATCAAATACAACCTAACTACAAAGAATCGTCCATAAATAATCAGGATTACAAGGCGAGAAATAGCACAACTATTAATAACTTATCATCGAGATTTGTAAATCAATCATCTGTTCAAGTGATGCACAGGGAGAACCATGGAACATCTTCTAGTACGCATCAGTCTCGACCAGCGTCACGGAATGATAATACCGCGTTTGCTGTAGGTAGGAAAGCATTAGAGCAACAAAATCCGGCGTCGAAGATGACACCAATAAATTTTCCACCATTGCGTGCTCCACAAAGTATCGTAAATGTGCGTCATCCGTTTGTCACAGAAGCGAGAACTAAACATAATGAAATTGGTGGTCCAAACTCCAAATCGAAATTGAATGTAGGAAGTTCTTTGCAAAGTGGTGTGAAAGATCTCGATCATAGTAGACAAACCTTTCATAGCTATGGCACTTCACAGATCGCTGGTATTCCTAGTGTTCAAAATTTAAGCAACGTTACAGCGAATATGTCGCCTTATCCTAGGCCGGAAAGTTTCCCTCAACCAACCGTTGCAAGTGTGCTATTTCCCGATACTTCTCAGTTTCCTCAGTCACCCCCATTTAGTACAACGCAAATTGGACAGCTGAATCAGTATCAGACTTATGATCCTGGCAGTTTTGCAACTACACCAGTGAATGTAAACCCAGTAATCCCACAATTCTCTGCAGAAAGTTCCATTCCGTATCCGCAGTATGATAATCCTCCTCAATTCGTGCAACCTAATCATTATCCGACGGCGGATATAGCAAATAGTCAATATCAATATCAAGCCGCGGGTGTGGGGCAATTGCAGGACTCACCGATGTTTATACAAAGCCTGCAGAGTCCAATCGCCGTAACAGATCAATATGCTGCTCCAAATTATGCCAGGACAGTAAGAGCAGAACTGATTCCACGATTGAGGAGGCCACCAAGATTTAACAAGTGAAAATGATTTTTTGCAACAAACCGCGCACGCGTGAACGTACTTATCAGTGCATAAAAAGTAAAATAAAATAAAAGTAAAATGAAGAACAAAGTAAGTAAAATAATAAACACACGCAATCGTGAAATTTTATTTATGATTTTTTAATAAAGATAGAAAACGTTCACGTGTATTTCCTGCATGGAAATTGTAAGCAAATTTGCCAATTTACTTAGTTGAACTATTGATATGCTACGTATAGGAGATTTGGTAAAAGTTATTTCAATTTTTGATCCATTTTGAAATAAATTTTAACCAGTCCATGCAAATAGGTATGTACTTGGAAGTGGTAACTGGTATTTTGGCAAAGTTGCATGTAGATACACGGTTAGTAATCGTTATTAATAATCATTTGAACAAATTCTGCCTGAAATGATTTTATATGTATATACGTGTACAAAGAAAAAGATATTATGCAGAAATGACAGATGAAAAAATCATTTTGACTTGTTTCCTTTATTCAGTGTGACACGGCAGGGCATAGTGAGTTGAGCTCGGTTATAATTTTATGACGTAATTTATCTAATATCATTAAAATTTGAAATGGAGAAAGAAGAGAAGAAAAAGTAGAGGCAATTGCATCCAGTTCATTAACTTGTATATAAATTATGTCTATCGATAAGAATAGTTTCATTTCTATAAATATATAGTATTCGCGAAAATGGTTCTGGACAAATTTGTTTTTATTGAAGAAGATCAATAAAAGCAAATTTGTTAGTAAGTGAAGCAGAAACCATAGCCATGTTGCGTGTAAAAATGCATGGAAAAAAGAGTTTTGAAATAAGAAGGAAAGAGAAAAAGAAAAAAAGTAACTGAACTATGATTATAATAATGATAAGTCCTAGTTTTAATGGATGGTATCCTACAAGCTATACTTTGCATAGAATTAGTGGAGGTTTTCCAATATTTGTATATTACTTAGTTTATTGCTATGTTTTTAATATGCTTCACTATTTATATATGGGATGACGGTGCAACGATGTTCATTGCAATGCGATCACGTATGAGAACGATTTGTTTCTAGGAAGAAAAGAATGAAAATTATGACTTTTGAGATTTAATAACAAAACGAAACAAAATTTTTATTCCTTTTCCAATAACTCGCTTAATTTGAACATTGCATCTCCACCAAACGTGTGCACAGTGCAAACGTAGCTTTGGCGATCCGAATATAATGAGGCTGGTCGCGATAAAGTAACGACATAATCTTCCAGTGGTGTATGTTTTTCCTTTAGTATGATAGCTCATAAACTCATAAGCATCACATATTAATACGCGTAAAGCTAATTGTTAAGGGAAATCCTCATTAAGTACGCATCTGGTATCAAGCGAAACTATATACTCGTATGTATTGAAATTTTGAATTGCCTACATGCGTTAATGTCACTTGATAAGACATTTATATTAAATGACAAAAAGAATAATGTCGCATATGGACGTATATAGCATCAGGAGGATATGATCATAAATTAAAAAGAAAAAGTGAAGGAAAGAAGGAAAAGAATAGAATAAAATATAATGAAAATGGATCATCATCCTGTTTGTGAGTAACATGATTATGAAAAAAATTGTTTGAAAGAATGATTGAAGGAATAGGCACGAAAGTAATATCGATCAGTGAACACTACGAATTTTTATCTTGCTTTCGATTACTGTTTCGGTGTAACAGGAATTCGTGTGTGCATACGCAATTTCGTCCAGCGATAATTTTTATTCTCGTTCTCTTGTGATGAATGAATTTCATTGATCATCAATAGTCTGTTAGAGTTATTAGATATTAAATAGAGATACATTTTATTTATTTTTTAAAAATTCGGAAATGAAAACGAATTTATTTGCATACTGTTTTCCTTTCTTACGTTTCACATCAAAAAGATCAACGTATTCATCGAACTTGTGTTCGTATTTCAATCACCATTTTTAAAATGATCATCACTATTATTATTATTATTATTACTACTACTACTACTACTACTACTACTACTACTACTACTACTACTACTACTACTACTAC